ATCCCGCTGAGTCTGTGTTTTTGATTCTGTCATTGGTACGCAGCAGCTTCAAGGTGGAACCGCTCAGCCATGGTGTTGGCTGCTTATTTCATATGTTGTCCACTATATAAAAACACCATATGGGTATGTTAACAAGATAAAAACTTGATTTTCACCAGGGGGGGTCTTTGAAGTAGGAATAATTGCGTACACACACTGTTGTGCGACAGGCTGTTAGATATACAAAAATACCATAATGACGCATGAAGTGTGGATAAATAAGTTGGCTGAATCCTCCATAGACTAACTGGTATTTCACCCTCTGTCAGTGTTAAACCAACAACTTCTGCCAACACGTTTGGCACCTCACTTCATGTCACTGAACTGTTTCTGCGATTTGTACGAGAGTCCTCCTGGGACAAGAGAAACTTGTGCTAACCAAATGTGTTTACTCCTCTCAAGCTGCAGTAATTTAACATCCTCAGACTGATAGCCTACTTAGAATGTAATTTATTCTCTCAAGAAGATTTTACATCTTCCACACAGATACATCAGTGTCCTCCAGGTAAAGGTTGTGTGGTGAAACCTTCCCACTCTGTTGTCTCACTGTCACTTTACAAAATGCTCTCGTTTCAATGAAAAAAGATGGCTCAACTGGTCATGCCTGAAGCAGTCACACCTACTGTTACTATAATCTAACTGTAGTTCTGTTTTCAGCTCCTCCACAGGTGCACCAAGAGTTGCCAAAAATCCCTTGTCACACCATTTAAGCTCACAGTATACACCTTTGACAGAACTTCATATCATGTGTCACTGATTTCAAAAATCAAATCATGAAATGAGAAACTAGAGTGAGAAAATATGTTGCGCTGAATCATGCTTTGGTAGTCTTTGTGCAACATGTAACGGTTAACCAATATTAAGCTAAATTTTACATGATGAATTTATAAACACAATTTAGCTCAAAAACTCCTGACAGACAACAACAAGGGATGTTTATCATGAAGGACCACTAATTACCGAAGAAGCACTGAGCTTAAAAACTGGCTGGTGGTATAACACTCCTGGTCTAGTGGCATGTGCCAATTTCACAGTGGTCAGATGGTATGCCACTTATATTTAATCTACACATCCCGCTTCCCCACAGCAGGAGCTGCTTCATATTAGTCAGCCACTCTTGGCTGATGATCAGATTGTCACATCAGTACTGCTCAGTGCCACTAAATACACAATATGCAAATTTAATGCCAATGATCTTATATATAGATATATATTTATACTCGTTTTCATTATTTCCATTTACTGCAGGTAAATGTGCTTGAAATAATTGATGAAGAGACTATTCTGGTTCTAGGAGCTTCAGTTCTGAACTGAAGAAGCCTCTTGGATGAGAGATAAGGGGTTCTTGAAGAATCTAAAAGAGAAGTCCAGTTGCTTTCTACTGAAACTCCTCGGATTACAATGACTTGGATGACTGACAGTCAACATACACAGGCTATTCTGGTTCCTTATAGCTTAGTTACATGCTTTTAAAATGTCTGAATGTCAAGCAATTTCATCTTTGCATGTGAGTTCAGGAGATAACTATAAATGAGCTGGACATAGCTAACATAACCAGGGATAGTCTAGCCACACTGATTAACCAGTGACTGAGACATCGAGCCATCTAACCAGATATCTGCCATGTATTTGGATTTGTGAAACACTCTCATACATTTGAGAACATTTTAACCGTATTTCTTATGTACAAGGGATGCTTTTAACAAGGCTGCTGCCAGTCTCATTTCATATCTCACTGACACATACCACTCCAGGGACTTATACCACAGAGCAAGACATATCCAGGATATCTTTTTGACATACAGCTTCACTGAACCTAGCAACCATGTATAAGTTGTGTCACAAAGCTGGTTATCATCTTGTTAAGTCAGTCCAATCTAGTTATGAGTCATATTCTCACTAGAACACTAAACTGTAACGCTTAACTGATATGAGCAATTTCAATAATAGGCTAAAAGCAACAGCTTCTGAAGCCAAAGCCAAAGGAATGACATGTGCTGCTTAGATGTATTCTTACAGTGTGTAAGTCAAGTTACACATATTCTTTCAGTCGCACCCGTATTGGTGTTGAACAATCTTGGAAGCAAATAGAGAGCAAATGCACTCATTTTGAGTCCTTCTACAGCATAGCAGCATGTTGTGGTAAATGTAGGATCAATGTGTATTTCAAGCAACAACACAAAGAAGAGAAAGATGTTCCAACTGTGACCCATGTGATGCGCTAAAAAGGAATGACCTTTAATTATCTACACTGCTTCTTTTTCTGCAAACCATTACTGCCCATGTAGGCAATGTGCAAGTATGACCCAAACAAGTATCCCTATTTGTCTTTTACCTGAACAATGATGCTGTGAAACAACCTATGATTGACAAAATCACCTGCATTCTCATCGAGACATGTTCAGCACCAATCAATCTGGGAAACCCAAGAATGGAGTTTAAAACACAAATGTCATAGGATCTACATTGTTTACTTTATATATCAAGTAGTCAACTCAAGATATTGTCTGCTTGTTCATAGAAACTCTCTCATATAGACTGTGTAACCAGGTGGTCAAGGAACAAAACAAATGCATCAAGCAGCTCTGTTGAACCAAAAAACACCTTTGCGAATTGTGCGGCGGACCATGTGTTTGCTTTGGTTCTTCACATCACCCACAGCATACATAAAAGTGCCCGCTGCAAAACAACACAAGTCAGTGCAAACAGTCTGAGGAACTGTAAGTGCACGACTTTGCCATGTTACGCTGGCAACACATGGCTCAAGAAGTACACAAAAGAAAGCAGTTCCCTCCGCTGAGAATCTATGTCTTGATATAGATGCTTGTTAGGGAAAGCCAAAGGGTTTAGTCGGCCTCTAAAAACTACTGCCCTCCTAGGAGACCCTTTCGCACTCCGTGTGCACTGAGCTCCATGGGATCTTCTATGAACAGTGATGCCATCTTCCAAGAAAATTTCCTGGTTAATCGGCAGTGCTTTTATACATGTTGATCTGTTATCTTGCAGATAACCTGCTCTGAAGCAATTGTGGTATGCAGCATTGGTTATCATGGCAATGTACCCTGGTAACATAGCATGACAGCTTTTCAAATAGTCTGTTTTATATAAGGGAAAGATGTTTGCTGATATAAGTAAACCTACATGTGTATGAAACAAAACATTGTTCTGTGTTTTTTGTATTTCTTTGTTAAAGTATAATTTCTTCCCATTGCTGAAACTCAGGTTTAGCAGCAGAAACCAGAGTGTGGTAGATCGATGTAAATCCCCTGCAGCTGTCCTGTCGTCTCCTTCCTAAAACATTTATTTATTTTTTTTTTTTAAGCAAACTTAGAGATACTCAGGGTCACATTCACAACATAAGAATAGTAATTAATCAGGGTATATTACAGCAGGTTCTGTTTACCACAGCTGTTCACATGCCGGTCAGGGAATTTTCTCACTACAGTCTACAGTGTGTGCTTTATGATTAAACTTGTTCAATATTTCAACATTTGCACTGACACAACGATGTATAAATGATTGTTACAGTGATTCATGTATCAAGAGCAGTGAAAAGAAAGAGTCCCTGAAGTTACTGTTTATTTACACATTGTGAGTGAAGGTGATTAATTGTGTGTCTTAATCTTTCTGACCATATTTTGTGGAAGTAGGCAACAGATTGTTTCTGGTGATAATCTGTTCATCAAAACAGTCTCAAATTAGTCTGGAGATGTCAGAACAACAGATCTTGAAACTGAAATCTGCAGCTATATTTAATTATTCTCAGCCACAGCATCTTCATTAGTTTGTTATTTATCGACAATAGTATGGCTTTAGTTGTGGCATCATCCATCCCTCTAATAGTTTGGTCCACACTGAAATAAGTCAACAGCTACTAGATAAATTGCCATGAAATGTTCTATAAACATCCCTTGTATTAGAGTACAACCTAGGATGACATGTAAAGATTTTAATCAAAAGACTATTTCTCATAGCATCACCATGTAACACTGTGATGGTGTTATAACTGATAGTGGCAAAACTTGTGACATTCCCCTAATCCTCTGCCGTACATTTGTGTTTTGTGCAAATTAGAAAACATTAGCTAACTAAAAGTGATCATGATGCTTCTCTGCAATGTTCCTGTGAGCATGCTGACATTTGCTTTCAGCTCTGAACCCTGCTGTGCCTAAAGTCTCACAGAGCCTCCAAGTGTGACTTTAAGTTTTGTTAAAACAAGAGAGAACTTTTAAGATAACTTTATTTCAGATTAACAAATCAATCCTCCAACTGCTAATGTTTATTTGTATGGCATCATGTCAAGAAATGCAGCCTAAGCCGAAGATGAGCTCTTTATCTGACTGCCATCATCAAAGTCCTGATTAGTTGAGGCTCGTTTGAAGAATGGCTCCACAGTTGACTGTGATGAGTGTGTTTCCAATCCTCTCATCGCATTTGAGTCAGCGTCGTTCCGTAACAATATTGCACACCTCATGTAAAAGTTTGCACCGAGCAATTACATGAATCCTCAGGTGCATATATAATTGAAGATGACATGCTTGCACTATCATGCAATAGATTTTAGCATGTTATGAGTGTCAGTGGGCATTGTAATTGGTAAACACAATGTAGAGATAAATTTGACAGATGACACCACAACTTACTCATTACGCATTACACCAGAGATCTTTATCACAACTTAATTTCCAGCTCGCTGGCTCACAAAGTCATTATCCTAAATATGATTTGCACAATGGAGAACTCAAAATAATGTGTAATATATTTTGTGTTTCTCCGAAGAGGAGATAGTAAAGGGAAAGGCGGCTAATCTTATTGTGCGTGACATTTAGTCATGTGCTCTCTCTTTCCTCTTCCTTTGTGTATCCTCTATCTCTGTGTGTCGATCTGTATATTTAATGACATTAGTGGATTTCTTTCTCAGTATGGATTATTGTTATGTGCCTCTGTTTTCTTCCCTTTAGGTGACCGAAACAAGGACGGGCCCTCTCGGATGCAGTAACTATGACAACCTCGACTCTGTCAGCTCCGTTTTGGTTCAGAGCCCTGAAAACAAGATTCATTTGCAAGGTTGGCCATCCATAATTGAACTCCCCCAATTTCTGATGGAATTGTCACAGTGTCTGTTCTCTGGCAAGCTTATAACTGCAGCACGAGAGTGTCAGAACGAATTTAGCTTCAATCACTCTTTCACTTTTTTGCCATGCATGCTCGCAGAGTTCTGAAGTGAATCCCAGGCAGTAATGATTCCGAACAAAAGTAGCAGAACTGTGCAGCAAAAATATAACTTTAAGTGAATCTCAGCATATTGCATGTGACGCCAAGCATATGCTGAGCATGGAATTTTTTTTTCTTTTTTTAAAACAAAAACAGTGAAAAGGAGTGCCAGCTTTCAGTGATTTACAGATCGAGCTTACAACAGCCATCTAAACACATTTTCTGCAATACCTAAAGTACTTAGAGCTCCCTCTTCATTCATCCATGTGACATTTCCATGTTTTTGTCCTGCTTTTGTCCTTGCCTCAGGGCTCCAGGCCATACTGCCAGAGTATCTGAGGGCCAGGTTTGTGCAGGCAGCTCTCAGCTACATCGGCTGTAATGAGGAGGGCCAGTTTGTGTGCCGGGACAATGACTGCTGGTGCCAGTGTGCCGTCGACTATCCACAATGTAATTGCCCCGAGGTGGATCTGAGGGCTATGGAAGCCAGTTTGCTGCAAATCCGAGATTCTTGGAACATGGCCAACCAAGACTTTGAGGAGTCAGGTCAGTGTTTCCTTTCTTGCACTCATTCTGTGGCGGTGACCCCCCCCACTGACAGCAAATTACACCCTGCTGTTAAAAGGGCTGATGGGCAAAGAAAACAGACGGACCATGAAAAAGGCACAATTACATCCAATCCAAGTAATGGGAATTCATCACTACACAGAGGAACAATTTGTAGAGCAGCATTTTGCAAGATTACATAAATAATATGAAAATAAGTGAGAAGAGCATCTCATCTCTATGAAGTAGGATTTATTGGATTTGATGGATTTGCCCAAACTCTCAGTTTTGAGTGTGGTGATGTTAAAAGTTCATAAACTCTCCCTCAATTTTGCATATGTTGGTTCTATGTTTAAAATTTAGATCTTCAACGTGCTACGTGAAGTGCTATGAGATGACATATGTCGTGAATTGGCGCAAAATAAATCAAATTAAAACTGAATTGGAAAACGTTATTGCAAAATCAGCAGATATGATGACGTGGCGGTCGATGTCATGTCACACAATGCCTCAAAAATAATCTATTATGTCATTTTATTAGTGGTATTAAACTAAAAAAAATGCGCAAATTCACTTCTGTAAATGTTTGTGAGCATTTTTATCTATAAACAATCAGCTAAATTAAATGCTTTACAAATTAAGGTACTTCATCACATTGATGCAAAAATCCTGTAAATCCAATACTGCCATAAAGCAGCGCTGCTTATTGATTGGCAACATTTCCCTCAGTGGCCTAATACAGGCAGAGATATCAAAGGGATAGCTGACTCAGTAGAAACAGCGTAGCAAAATCTGTAAGACTTGACAAATCTGACATCCCACAGTGTAGATTGTCAAAACACCCAACCCTCTTCGTTGGCATTCAAACAACTACCCTCTGCTGCCATTTGAGCCTGTGTGTGCATAGAGAAATTGCATGGTTCAAATTTCAAAGTCCAGAAAATGAAAGGGGAGCATTTATAGTAATATGACTGGGTCAACAGTGATTCAGTCAAATGAAAGCTCTGCAGCACCGTGAGGAGGAGCTGTCATGCCCCAGGAACAAACGGCAGTTGCTGTAAATCTGTTAGCAGCGTATGATGTAACCTCTGATATAAGACTTCACAGCACAGTTGGTGCCATTTTATTAGTTAACCTTATTTAATGTTGGCTGATTAACGTGGTGAAAGTGAGCACTAAATTCAGGCTCTCCAAGAAGCTTTTTATGCATCTTATTGATAGTAATACACACACACACCATGTTAAATGTTGCACCCTCTTAGTGTTGTGCATCACGTTTGCTCCATCCTGTCCAGCATAGCTCTGATGCTGGGTTCCTCTATCATCATTGAAGCTGAGCTGCATCCACAGGCTTTAAGGGCATCTCGCTGTTTCAGTCATTTCCAGCTCGGCCTTAAGCTGTTTTTCGGTGCACCTTGCCGGCTGAGAGTGTTATTACTGGCTACATGGTTCTGTACTAAGGGCAACTTGATTAGCGCACAGTTGGCAATAACTTAAGCAGCAAGGTGCCCTAAGAATGGCCGTTGCCAGGCTGTGTTAAATAAAGAACAATAAGTTCCCATAAAACCCCTGGGGATCTACTTGTATGGTTGATCTAATAGAGAACAACTAACATCGGTAGCAGAGAGATTAGGAATTATAACTCTGATTGTGAAACGAGGTTTCTGCTGTCAGCTGATGATTTGCTGTAACTTCTGACACAGGGTGATACGGTTTAATTAAGATATCATATGCTCTACAGCTGGATCCCTATTTTATTTCTTACTAGTTGCGTACATTATTCTTTATTTGCCTGGTGACCTTTTGCTTTGACTGAAACAATTCAGGTTCATAGGAGTGTATTAGAATAGTGTGAAAACAGAACTAAAAGGCATTGGCTTGAGGGGACTTCATGCCAGCGGGTACGAGACATATCCAAGAGAGCTCCAAGAGGTCTTTGTCAAATTACATTTCAATATATTGCAGTTATTTGATTATTTAAGACGATTTTTAGTTCTTTTTTTTTTAAATTGTAACCTCACAGTTCAGTTATTTCAGAAGATTCTGCCAAATAATCCTCTCGCGACACAGCATTACCCTCCAACCTCCCCATGTTATTTTTAATAATGCCCACGGTGTCTGCACTTGTGCTTCGCCAAATCTGACAGTGTCTTCTATTTTTAAAATCATACAAAAGAGAAGCGCTGTTACCTTCCTGGGTTCAGTCTCTGACAAGATAATAACAGTGGTTAGAGAGCAGCTTTCCAGGGATGAGGTATTGTTGTCTCGGTGATGAAATAATGGTCTACTTCAGCCAATACCTGCGGTTCACACCTTTCCCAGGACACTCGACACTATGATTTTTAACATTTTGCTAATGGTTTTTAATGAAGCAGTATTTATTTATTTATTTTTTTTACTTAATTTATTTTGCTTATTAACCAGCAAGCATCCAAAGATAGTATATTCTCTGTTCGGGTGAGCCTGGCCAAAAGGCATAAAATAATTAGTAGTAATTAGGAGTAGAAGTGTCATTTACATTTTTTGCCAATTTTCGAGTGTGAACCATTTCTGCGTCTCAGGAGCATTAAAATACACACAATCAAATTACAATGATTATATAAAAACCGATTTCACACATCCTGAAATATGCAGAAATCCTGTTTTAAAAAATAGTACTGTTTAAAAGCACCTTTTATAACACGTTATGGCTTCTTTTTCTTTTCTTTTCTTTTTGCTTTAACCTTAATTGTAATTTCCCTATTATATGTTTTTAACAGCTTGACTCACTACTGTTTGCTTTGCCTTGTCAAATTTGCATATCTCCACTGAGCTTGTTATTGGTTGTCATGAGGAATCATGTTCCACTAACTCAAACAAACACAGAATATGAAAGCTAGACAGCGTGTGTATCCACAATTGAACGTTCTATTGTTGTGTATTGTGAAGGAACCCCGCCGCTGATTTCAACAAACACAAAACGTGAAGTTTTGAAAGAAAGACGACGCATTGTTGGCTTCGGTCTTTTCAATGGATTTATCCTTTAAACTCATTTTATAATATCAGACAAATGAACATGTCAAAAGGCAGCAATCCACGGAACATGTGTAATTAAATAAAAAATGTGGAAGCTGCTCCGTGTAATTTCTTTTTTCCTCAAGACGATTAAATGTAGGCCACGGAGAGCCCCCCCGCAAATACCCTTTAATATATTTTATTACAACCTGTTTAATCAACTTATTAATTTCACAGGCACATGTAATACACCTTGCATAATCACCAGGGAAGCCTTTGACACTTAATTGGTTTTCTAATCAGATACTTCATTATCAAGATAACGTTAACTAATTACAAACAGCAGTATGGATATTTTCAAATCAGTCTTGCATATGCTTCGATTATCCATACAGCAAATCATGATTATGATGATGATGATATTGTTATTGAATGCCCTGGAAATGTAATCTGTTTACTATGCATTGTGCATGCTGCAAACAGTAACTCTAAAGGGCTGACAGATATTATCCTCTGAGCTCCATGTCCATCCTATTTTCTCTGAGACAGACTTGCAGAATAAGCCCAGGAAAAGCTGCTGGCTGTTCATTAATGGAAGAAAAAAAATCTCACCCCATCCCTGTATTTAGCTCTGCCTTTTTCTATTAGCATATGCGTCAAACAATATCACTTCCAGTTTGCCCCGCGGCTCTTGAGCCCTTGTGGCTTCTGCAAAGTGATTCTCTCATTTGGTCTGACTAAATTAGCCAAATATAGTTGGAAGCAAGTAAGAGGGTTAGTTTGGCTTGTGTTGGAGAAGAAATAGATTAGTCCTCTCTCATCTTACACGTCTCTCTGCCTTCCAGATGAGTTTCAGAACTTCGTTCGACGGCTTCCCACATTCTACGCCCTCAACACGTCTGCCATCCAGTATTTCTGGAAGATGGAGCCGACTATTCACCAACGCTACAAACAGCTGGAGCTCAGCACCCAGCAGCTCCTGAGCAAAGCACGACGCATCGTCAACAAGCTCTTCACCCTCAGCAAGAGGTGTCAAACTCAGCCCAAAATTATTATGCTGAGGGAGAGGTGAGAAGCTGATAAGTTTTCCTGCTGACCTTTCTGTTGACACGGTTGTGGAAGAGTGTGTGTGTGTGTGTGTGTGTGTGTGTGTGAGAACAAGCAAAAATTCCAAAGCCTGCAGCCACATCACAAGTCCTTTCAAGCAAGCTGTGAACTGCAGTGCTCATTTATTTTCTTCAGCCCGCTCAGTCCGCAGCGCTTTGTTATCCCCTGAACTAGGCATTATGCTAATAATACACACAATACATTTACGCTTTGATATTCAACTGAGGTCCTACAGAAGTGAGCTATAGTGTCACACCTGATGACTTGGCTGCATGCCCAGCTCAGGTCTCCTTTACATCCAGGAAATCAAACCTATCCTCCTGTGAAATTAAAGTTTGCAGTGTTTTAAAGGAATATGCAAAGTTTAGGAGATATTTCCTGTTGGTTAACTAGACTGTGATAAAATCATATACAAAAAAAAAAAAAAAAAGTCCTCCTTGCATCTTCAGAAGATCATTCTATCTATTTTTGCATTTTTCCACCCAAAAAATCCATCACATTGCCTGCAAGACAAGCTTATGAAAAAGAAATGTGATTATGTCAGTGCAGCTGATGCAGCTCGGTTTATTTTAGAAGCTACTTCAGGTGAAATAGCAAATATTTATCCTCTGCAATGTGATTTTTAGCTGGAGCTACGGTCTCTGATTGCCCTCATCTTCTCTTTCTGTTAAATAAGTGACAATAATCTATGATCATTTACCAGAATATTATTCAACTACAAAGTCTTGCAGCTGTCACACAATGGATTGTTTGTCTGAGCGTCCTTCACCTGTCTTTTCCTCAGTCCATATGGGCTTACACAATACGTTTCAATAGCCAGAATGTCATAATGTACAGCTCCACTAATTCCAAAAAGAGTGCATTTCAGAACATTCCATTTACATAACAAAAAGCACAGTTATATTGGACACAGCACAATGTGTCTCAGTTGCCAGGCGTCTTCTATAAATTCCTATAAGGAACAAACATCCCCACGCTATAACACGCCTCAACAAAACAGCAGCAGCGGCACACGATCCAACACCACACAAAAAAAAAAACACATAAATGATGCTCCTCAGGACTGCCATTATGTTCGCCTCCCTAAGCTACCAGTGGTAAAGCAGCAAATCTTTACAGGGCATACAGGGATCTTTGTATTCTCTGTAAAGGTAATTTTAAATACCTGCATGTTTCCACACAGTAATCACCTTTAATTTGGATGCAATTAAGAAGCTTTGAATTCGCATAAATGTTCCTCCATTGTTCCTTACACATCTTCTGCAATTTTTTTAGTCTGAATGCACATCTGCAAGTTATTCCGTGAAATGAAATTCAAATGTAAAATACTGCCATGACCTCTATTCACCCCGGATAATTGTGTGCACGATCGCAGTTAAATATCTTTTTGGCCTGTCTTTCCTCTGGCAACTGAACAAAGCAGTTCCACAGCCTCACCAGTTCTCCTTTCAGCTTTGCAAGACATGGCTACCCACAAGTTCATAATTTCTGCTTTTAGAGAGACATTTATTACATGTTCAGATGGTGCGGTTTTAGCGTCGCGCTCAATAGGCAGTGAGGTGGCCACACACTCTAAATGATATTCACAAAGGATTTACAGCCCTTTTTTTCATTTTCTTTTTTTTTTTTTTACTAAAGTGTATCAAACTTTTGCACTTCTTAAATCGAAGAAATATGCACAGCTGATTGTTGCAAGTCTGGTTTCATTCATGTAACAAGCCTTCCTGTTTGGATTTATAATAGATGGTAGACGGGAATGTGAATGCACAAAGCTGCCACACCTTATTTATCATTGTAGACGACTGACCACTGACACAGAGAAACTGCAGTTCTGAAATGTAAAGCGCAGTGAGTGAGACAGAGAAAGGAATGAAAATTAAATGATGCATCAAAGTTACATAAGTGGGGCTCTGAGCTCAGCACCAACACAAGACAAAGGACCAGCAATGCAACAACAATCTGTTATTTTTCACAAGATTTCATTTCTGTTTCTCTGATAAATAGACTTTCCTGATTTGAGTGGCTCATGGCAGTTCAAGTCCAGTGTAATGTCATATTTAACTAATGTTTTCTCGCATATGTTAGAACAATGCTGCATCAGTTCTTACTTAGCAGCACTTCATCCACATCAGGTGTATTGGAACTGGACTCATTTACAGCTATAGGGTGAGTCAGAGCTCAGCTGTGGAAGAAACTGCAGAAATGCCAGATGCGCATCACTAATGGAAAATTTTGAGGCCAAACCTGCCTCCAAAAAAAAAAAATGATGTCCTTATATAACTAAACTGCATCTACATTTATGTTTTGAAAGAAGCACATTTTTTTTTCTCCTGAATGGTAAGATTAAGATGTAGGAGGAAAGATTTTCAGTTTGAAGGACTCACAAAGTCCACATCAGTGGGAGGAGTGGATAGAGACTTTAGCCGGCATTCAAACCCGGGTGAGGCCATTATTCTTAAACCGAAGTTTCATTTTCATTCCTTGTTAACTTTCAGTTTTCACTTGCTGTTTAGGTACTCAGACTACGTGGTCAGGTTTAGGAAAATATCCCGATTTGGCTGTAAAGGAACAGCAAAACAATAAAATAAATGGCAAAGATATGCTAATTGACACACAAAAAACATCCAGCCGATCATATGTTTCCCTCAAAACATAATTGAGAATGCAGTTCACTTGTTAGGGAATTTTGCGAAGCAGTGCTACAACATGACATATTGTTCACTTTCAAAGAGCAAAAAGGCATGTGAGCAGGCTGGAGGAGTAGTTATACAAGTCAGAAATAGAATTTTCACCCAGGGAAGTGGGGTTTGTGTCCTATTGACTTTCGTTTTCACCTAATGTCTGTTTAGGTTTAGGAGAACATCATAGGGTTAAAATAGATCCGTTGACAACATTAACCACAAGTCACCGCAATTTTCTGGATTACAAAAAAAAAGGAGCAACAAAAGGAAAGCATTTAATATGTTGATTAGAAACATATTTGGGATGTGTCACAAACTAACATAATTCAGCTAAAAAAATGTGCTTCTGTCAAAACATAACTTGGTTTAGCTGTATGGTGATGTCATTTTTAAGACGACAGGGCTTGACAGAGTGAGTACATGTGAGCTCGCAAATAGCTTAACTACAATGATGAAATAATACGAATATGTGAAGTCCAGATACAGAGCACATGTGCTGGTGTGTGTGCACTGAATTTCATATGCAGTATTTCTCCACACTTAAGATGGACAGTACCTGGGGCAAATTTGGGGAGCACAGCAAATGTATTAATGGGATGAGTGGGAGTGATGAAAGTAAATACTTGAGTAGATATTTTAGATCCCGCTGTGATATAACCTGGTGCTCTCAGATGATCTGAGGAAGAGTCTATTGGCTCACATTAACTAGGTTCAAAGCCAGAAACTTAAGTATCCAGTCCCTCACCGGAGGAAAGAAAAAAATCTAAATAAGATCTCTTCTTTGTCCAGCCTCTTTCTCTTCGATGTAACTGAACTCACTTTGACATCAGTATGAAATTTTGACCATTTTCTCCTACGTTTTTTTTTTTAAATTCACCTCCTGAGAAACAGCCTCCTTCTCATCTCACTGCAATGATCTTTATTTGTCTGAAATAATCAGCTCTTCAGATAATAGGAAGACCCAAAAGAAAACTTGACTGGCATACAAATGAGCCTGTACAATATCAGAATTTTGTGATCAACTTCAAGTCTGAAGTCTGTGTATTGTATCTGTTCTGGGACTTCTATTAATAAATCACTGTCGGTCCAATCTGCTTCTCCCTTTTTCACCACTTCTACAAACTTGGTGGGTGCATTACTGGGGACCTGAGGGAGTGCAGTGTTGAGTTTAGAGTTGTTTGGATGAGCAGGGGCTATTTGTAGGATTTTTTTCACAGTTTTACCGCAGCCTGTGACTTCTAACATACCGGTGACAGCACCAGTGAAAACTGACTGGTGATAATGATGTTCTTCACGTGGTGATGCATCACAGCAGAGTAAATTCAGAGGAAACGGTGCTGGTATTGTCAGCAGATATTATTTTTTTTTATTTCCCTTTTTAGTGCGCATCTGTTTAAATGTAGGTTTTTAAGATTTTAAGCAGCTTCACCGAGTTTCAACAGTGGTGCAGGGGACACTGTTGCCTCACAAAAGGTTCTAGCAGGTCGGCCAGGGCCTTTCTGTGTTAAGTTTGCTCATGTAACACGTATGGTAGAGGCCAACCAATTATCCACCTGGCATGTCGTGTATTTAAAATGGATTTAAAAATGTACTCTGTGGTCTAGAGTGATCTCCCATGCAAAGTGTTATCTGATTAGATACACGCCACAACTAATAACCTCTTCTAATTAAACATATGTAAAACACACATTTTAAAAAAGGTATTTAAAAAAAAACAAAAAAGTAGTTGAAATGTGTGTTACTTTAAATGATGGAACCAAGATTTTCAGTTATCCAATACAACTATCAGTTATAGGCTTGGTCAAATCCCCATCGGTGACCTCTCATGAGTCCACATTAGCAAGAGGTGTGAGCCTGCAACTCTGAGAAGTCTGTGTAGCCAAAGGTGAACATCCTTTCTCAATGTTGCTTTAAAAATATGCCCAGATACAGATTTATAAATGTATCATCTTATTTGGACAAGTTGGCTAAAAATGCACAATTTCTTATTCAACCTTAATAGTTACACAACAATGTGCTCTGTCCCAAAGTGTGTTGTTTTTTTTTTTTTTTTTTTCATATTTTCCTGATGACCTAGTTCAAGGAGGATTTGTTGATTTTTTTTTCTTCCTTTTTTTATTAAAAATAATATTGGTGTATCTTTGTAGCTTTATACATGTAGTGAAGCATAATGGTCTTTGTCAGAGGAAAACAAAGTAAACAGAAAAATAATGTAGGCTCTTTTCACTGCAAATCCATTTTGGAGTTTCTTTTGTAATTTTCAAGCACGTTGGAAAAAAGTATTTCTTTTCTTTTCTTTTTTTTTGTTAGATTTTAGCCGAATATCTGATAATACAGTAATATAGCAGCACAATACAACTGATGTGCTTTTTTGTTTCACCAAGTCCATATATATGCTTCTAATTAAGAAAAAAAAGAAATGTGTCCTCTGTAGCAGCAAAGTTTTGCTCGCTAGCAGAAACAGAATCTGTAGCTGAAGGAGAAAGTTGGTGTGCGACATTGATCCGTGTGAAATGAACTGACAGACAATGAACAGATTGCAGAGCGAACACCCAGCTTCTCTTTGGCTCATACTGCACACTGCGTCTCCATGACAGTTTACATGTCCTGCTGACAGTGTGCGCTTTACGATGGCGAGACAGCTTCCTCTCTCTTGCTGTGCACAGTCTCCACTCTGGAGGTGAGATATGCACAACTGACTCTAACTGATGAGTTTCAGAGAAGCAGGGTACTGTTAAGACTGTTAACACGTTGCATCGACCGCCTCGCGACAAAATGTCACCAGACTTTAAATTTGACGATTTGAAAAGATGTCATTTGCTCATATTCTTTTTTTTCTTCCCCACACGGCACTGATGACACTCACTGTCATGTTGGAATATTAGAGTGGCTCGCTGGTTCAAAGCACTTGTATAGAAGCTGATTTGAAACTGACAAACACCACAACTGAGGCGTTCTATAGACCTCAAGATATATTTTTTTCATACTTAAGATGTGCACGCTTAGTGAGCGATGCACTTGGGGGAACAAAACATAATGCTAGTAAATGGAAAAACACAATCTGTCACAGTTTCATTTGTTTTCTTCACAAGGTGTGATATGCATCTCTCTCTCTCTCGCTACATATATATATCATTGTGAGTAAATTAAGACAGAATTAAAATACATTCTTTCCTGCCTTTGCACTGTTAACCAAAGCAGCAAAAATTGAGCCAGTATGTCTTTTTTGTTTTTGCCCAAACATTGAGCTTCATATTTAAGGTATCAAAGTGGTAATCAGTTGAGTTTGAGAAAAAACATGTTTGCATTTTTGCCTCCTTTGGAAACTGTGCTTGGTGAATTTACATGTTTATTTAGGAAAAGTCAGCGACAAGCACTGCTTTAGTTAATGTGAAATCATTCAGACGTGATGGAGTAGACACTTGGAAATGCTGAAATATGCCTTTCATATCTTCTCTAAACCTGGTGTCTGGAAGTGGAAAGAGACTTGGCTGACTTTTAATGACTCTCATATTATGTTCATTAAAGTTTAAATCCCCAGCGCCTCACACACACACACACACACACACACACTTTGCAGCCCAGCTATTATCTAGTTAAACAACTGTTTGGACAAATGTTGTTTTTCCCTTTCAAAAAATAGGTCTTTGAATGTAAATTACTTATACATGCGCTATTGTTTCCTCTAAATTAATTTAGCACAGCTGCACACGACTACAATAATGGAAGTGGTAACTCTGCTCAGGAACAAAAATGGATTCAGAAATGTGACAGATGTGGAACAAAGCGAGTGAAAGACTGATTATATTCTTGTCGGGATGTCCACCTGCTCCTTTATTCATAAACAATCTCAGGAATTTTGGTTTACCATTACAGTTTGTGTCTTGGAATAAATAATATGTATACATGTGGTTTGAGTCAGTGACTCTGCATCCAGGCTCTGGACTGAATGATGATGATCAGAATCACAAACTGTGACACTTTAAAATCAGATAGTGTTACATTGAACACTTTTCCTAAAGACCCAGAAGACATGTGTCCTATACATATATTGTTAGTAAAAGTAATGAAAAATGATACATATTTCCAGCAAAAATCAGAATCTGATTAAAGTTATTCTGCTGTTACTTTCTCTCACCAAGGGAGACACAATTATCGATCAACTCATAAAGCATTGAGCTCACTTTTTTTCTTTTTCTTCTGTTATTTTATCTAACTATATTGAGGGCCCAGTGAAACAGCAGTTAAATCATTTTTAGCTCCTGTATGTGGGTGTAGTTTGGGCTGAGACCAAATACACAGACGGATATCGTCTCTACAGGGATTTGATCAAAATGTTTCAGGATTTACATGGATCGCTTAAACCTGGGCCTTTCTCAGCGGGCAGCAGTCTCTAAAGAATATGAAGCGATACAGAGCTGTGGAGGACTGTTAACCTCCATCTATACCTCCCTCCTCCACACTGATAGGTCAGGAAGAAAGCACGGGAGATGTTTGAACTCAGCTTCGCTTTTTTCCATATTAAATTTAAATACGTATCTCAAACCCCATGCTATCACTCTGCTACGATGAGTCAAGTTTCATCTACTCGAACAGTCTACTTAGTTTCCCTAAATCAGATTTAATTTGATAAATTTATCTGTTAATGTTCGACAGGAACAGAGAGGGATGTTAGCCTAAAGATCAAGACACATGCTTCATGACATCAACGTTCATGTAAATGTGATTCCTGTGTCCACTGTAGTTGTGTTTCATACTGTTTTCTTTCTTTCCTGTCTGTATTCAGCGCGGGGAAAAAAAGATCGCACAGTTCTATTTGTATTTGACAGATGCTAAGAGATAACTAAGCAATCAATACATGATCAATCTTGGAAGAAGTTTGAAATTGCTCATTTACTTCCTCAGAATTTAGTTGCTTTGATTTCAAACTATTTATTTCATTTTTTGAAGCGCATTAAAATTTTGAGTAACCCAAAACAGCTTGTGTCTGGTGATTTCCCCGCATGACAATTATTTCTTTGATTTAATTTTGTTTCTGAGCAAAATGAAAAATGCTGCATGCATGTTTTTTTAATTTGATGTTATGAATGTAATACACCTGCAGTGAAGCTTACGTACTGCTCCGTCTCCGTTGCAGGCCCTTAAGCTACTGGCTGAACTACATCCTCTCCATCATGTACTGCAGTGAAAACAATCACATCGGCTCTTACCTGGAGGAGACCCGGAGCTGCTCCTGCCCCTACGAGCATCCCCCCTGCCAGGGCGTGATCCCCTGCTCGGTGGGGGAGGGCACCTCTTGCGCGTCCTGCTCCTACGAGAACCGCTCCCGCTGCGCCACCTGCAACCAGGGTTACATGCTGAGCCAGGGCGTGTGTCGCAACGAAGTGCCGGACTCCACGGACCACTACATCGGCTTTGAGACTGACCTGCAGGACCTGGAGCTGCGCTTCCTCCTGCAGAAACGCGACAACCGCATCAGCATCCACGGGATCTTTGTCAGCAACGACGTCAGGCTGAATAATTGGTTCGACCCGTCATGGAGGAAGAGGATGCTGCTGACGCTGAAAAGTAATAAATACAAGTCAAACCATGTCCACATGCTCCTGGGCATGTCTCTACAGATCTGCCTTACCAAGAACAGCACTCTGGACCCCATGCTGTCTGTCTATATCAATCCGTTTGGGGGGAGTCACTCAGAGAGCTGGATCATGCCCATTGACCAGAACAACTACCCAGACTGGGAGAGGACTAAATTAGACCTTCCCTATGACTGTTATAATTGGACTTTGACTTTAGGCAACAAGTGGAAAACATTTTTTGAAACAGTCCACTTTTACCTACGGAGCCGGATCAGGGGCACCTCGAGTAACGGAAATGGAACTGTATATTATGAACCATTGGAGTACTTGGAACCAGGACGAAATCTAGGCTACATGAAGATCAACAGCATCCAGGTATATGGCTATAGTATGCACTTTGACCCGGAAGCGATCCAGGACTTGATTTTACAGCTGGACTACCCATATACTCAGGGATCGCAGGACTCGGCGCTGCTGCAGCTGCTGGAGATCCGGGATCGGGTCAACAGGCTTTCCCCGCCCGGCGCTCAGCCTCTGGATCTCTTCTCCTGCCTGCTGCGGCACCGACTCAAACTGTCCACCACGGACGTTGCCAGGATTCAGGCAGCGCTGCAGACTTTCAGTGCCAAGCAGCCCAACTCGATGGAATATGAAACAACCAAATTATGTAGCTAATAAGTGGGCAGGTGGCCAGGTGCACAGATGGAAGAGCAGTTATCACACAGGCCTGATGATGGTTAAGAGCAATTTTGGAGCCATGCAAGGGACATTTGGGGGACACTGTCATTGTCGTCATGGATCTCAAGAGTGCATTTGAGATTCTCATGTCAGCTTTTCGTATAAATTTGTATAACATGTTAGATTTAAGGAGGATTTCACCATACTTGCCTCATAGCGTTTTCTTTCTCCTGACGAAACTGATAACTCTGACAGTTAATAATATAAATTTAAAACTCTGCCGTCACTGATATGTTGCTAATGTGCTGACGTTTGTAGATTGCACAAATTTGAATCACTCACATACGTAAACAGAAGCTTTTGCTGATAAAGTATTACCCAAGCAACGTAATCATCTCACAAAACAAACATTGCAGCACCAGCATGTCTTTGATTTGTATTTTTCTCATCACATTTATCTTCAGGTGCAAAAAAATAGCACCAGTGTTTGTTTTAATATCACGGCCCCTCCCTTTTAACCTGGGAAAAGATGGGCACCTCATTCTTTTTAGCTTCCATTGCAATGATTAAGTCACACATTTTTTAAGCTCTACTACACTACTTTTGTAATAAAAGAACAAAACAAACAAAGTGAATAAATAGATGCTGTATTATTCCAGTTTTGTTGAGGGGACAAAAAAAAATGTACCATGATCACAATATATGTTACATGTGCTTTTATTTTTATAATGCTGTTGTTTGTGAAGCAAAAGTTACAAAAACACTGTCTATAAAATGTAAAATACAATTTGTTAATACACTAAATAAAATACATTTTTATGTGTGGTCTATAGATGGTGTGCTTGTCGTGCATGAACTTGAAGCCTTCATTAAGGCTATAAATACCATCCGTGCTTTCTCTACGAAGACATTTCAAATGCCATGCTGTCAAAACATCCTACACCATGTTCTCTATTTGCGGATTACGGACGATTTGACACACATTTGGGTCCTTCAGTTCTTCAAAACCGGCGTAAAATTTAGGAGCTGTTGCCAGAGCAGCACTTGCATGGAGCCAAACCTACAGTTGCTCACTTTTTAATACCATATTCGAGATGTTCGAGGTAAACTCCAAAATTGGGGTCATTTTCTGATACAAAGAACTTCATTTCTTTGATGACTATTGACTTCAGTAGAGAGCATGTAAGTTGCATTACAATCTGTTGGGGAAATTATCACCATTTTCACAAGAACCAGTCTGCAGTGAGATAGAGTTGAAACCAGTAGTTTACGTACACTGTACAAAACTGTATAAAAAGACACAACTTTTTTTTTTTCTCACTGCCTGACATCGAATGTGACAACACTGTTCCTGTTTTAGGTCTGTTAGAACTACCAAAATTATTTTCATTTGCTAAATGCCAGAATAATGAGGGAGTTTATTTAGAGATTTTTTTTATTACTTTCTGCAAAGTCAGAAGTTTACGTACATTTCCTTAGCATTGCCTTTAAAATGTATGACTTGGGTCAAACATTTTGGGTTTCCTTCCACAAGCTTCTCACAATAGTTTGATAGAATTCTGGTCCATTCCTCCTGACAGAACTGGTGGAACTGAGTCAGGTTTGTAAGCTGCCTTGCTTCACACATCTTTTCAGCTCTGCCCACAAATTTTCTACAGGATTGAGATCAGGACTTTGTGATGGCCACTCCACAACATTGACTTTGCTGTCCTGGAGCCTCTTTGTAACTAATCTGGCGGTGTGTTTAGGGTCATTGTCCATTGACCCATTTGCGCCCAAGCAGTAATTTCCTGTCTAATGTCGTGAGATGTTGGTTCAATATTTCCACATAATGTTCTTTCCTCATGATGCCATCTATTGTGTGAAGTGCACCAGTCCCCCCACAACATGATGCTGCCACCCCCATACTTCACAGTTGGGATGGTGTTCTCAGGCTTGCAAGTTTCCCCCTTTTTCCTCCAAATGTAACGATGGTCATTATGGCCAAACAGTTCTATTTTAGTTTCATCAGACCACAGGATATGTCTCCAAAAATGAAGGTCATAGTCCCTGCATCTGCAAACTGTAATCTCGCTTTATGTTTTTTTGGAGTAATGTCTTCCTCCTCTCTGAGTATCCTTTCAGCCTATGTCGGTAGAGGATTCGTTTCACTGTGGATAATGACACTCTCTTACCAGCTTCAGCAGCATCTTCACAAGGTCTTTGCTTTTGTTGTGGGGTTGATACGCACATTTTGCACCAAAACACTTCATCTCTGAGACACAGAACCCGTCTCCTTCCTGAGCAGTATGATGGCTGGACGTTCCCATGGTGTTTATACTTGTGTATAATTGTATTAACAGATAAACGTGGAACCTTCAGGAACCAGATTTGTGGAGGTCAACGATTCTCTTCCTAATATCTTGGCCGATTCCTTTAGAATTCCATGTAGTCACAAAAGGAAGCAGTGTGTTTGAGATGTTCCATAAAATACATCATAACATCATCATCTGGGCTTTCCCAAATAGTTGGAAGGCATAGTAATCTGAGCGTATGTAAACTTCTGATTTTGAAGAAAGTAGCAAAAAAAAATCTCTCTCTCATTATTCTGGCATTTAGCAAATAGAAATTTTGGTAATCCTAACTGACCTAAATCAGGAAAAGTTTAGTCTGATTTAATGTCAGATAGTGAGGGGGGGGAGAAAAAAAAAAGAGAGAGATTTTAAGTCTTTTTATGCAGCGTATATAAACTTCTGATTTCATCTGTATATCTCACTGTGGCAAAATACACACAAAAAAAAGTCCACAATGGAGCCAGAAACATAGAATTTAACATCCTACTAACAGTAATGATGGGAATGTGTCTTTTAGCTTGTTGGTTCATTGTCATTGCTGTGAAGAGAAACATCATTAATGTTATTGATTGCTGCTGTTGCACAAATTTATGAGCTACGCTTGCATCATTAATAAAAACTTTTTGATTTGAATAATTCACACATTTTAAATGGATGCAAGTTTAATTTGTTGGTGAACAGTTTATACATCATTAGAGGAACACTCCATAACTTTCGCTGAGTAGTGGCAACAGCATCTTCTGTGGCCATGAGTGGTAATTACAAGATTCTAGTGCTCTTCTGGGCTCTAAATTTGAGTGATAAAAGGTACTGAAACACAGTATATCTGTTTTTCACGCAACAAACACAAAAACATCATCAGTAACTCAATACAAATCAGCAGATTTATTGTCGACAGCAACAGACAGCAATGAAAAAAAGTTATTCCCTAACAACCTGTCATTAAAACACAGTTTACCAAAAATAGTAAAAGTTTTGTAATCAGATGCTATTGCTCTCCATTGAGATGTCTAACTAGCAGCTCAACATCTGTCACAATCGGCTGACTTGGCTTTAAGCCCAAAACTAGCGATTCAACAACTTTCCTGAAACAGCCAAACATCAAGCAAATGCTACTACACAAAACTAAAATCCAGCTAATATTACTCACCGCTGCAACACCAGACGGCCCGCTCAGCATCTGTCTCGCAGCCTTTAATTTCGCAAAGCCCTCTGCAGCAACTGAAAGCCAGCTGCAGATTTACTATTATCCAGCCTCCGTTTTTTTTTTCTGTTCATAGCTTCCTCCATCAACACCCTCTTCAGTCTCCTCGCCCACTGACATGATGTTCATCATCTATAGCTAACTGAATACCCAGACTTGGTGGTGTGTGATCTAGTGCCAAAAAGTTCTATATACTTTTTCCAGAAGTTTGATTACCTAAGTTATCCTGTTCTTCCTATTGCAAGTTGGTGCTCCGTCAAGATTATTTTAAATCTGTAATTTTCAGCTGAAATAGATGCATTATATTGCTTTGCTAATTTGACTGCAACTAATGTATAATATAATTTAATATAATTTAGGCAGCAGTAGTAATACTCTGAATACATGCCTTAAGTAATTAATAGTATAAATAAGAGGGAATGCCAACATGATGTGTTTTAGTATTCTTAGTACTGATCCTCCAAGTCTCTGGAACTCAACTGAATAGATAGAACATCACTCACCTTCACTTGGTGGTGATGATGGAGTGCTGCAAGTCCAAAACCTCATATCTGGTGACTGTGAAGGCCGTAGCACATGATCGTCATCATTTTCATTAAACCATTCAGTGATCCAGTATGATCTATGGATGGAGACATGTCATCCTGGAAGAGACGACTCCCATCAGTATAGAAATGTGTCATTATCGAGTAAGTGTGATTATTCAGAACAGCTTTATTGTAATTGACTGTCTAAGAGGGCAAGTGGACCAAACCATGCCAGCAAAATTCAATTCAATTCAATTTTATTTATATAGCACAGTTCACAACATAGGGGCTGCAAGGTGGTGCAGTTGGAAGCCTTGTTGCCTCGCAGCAAGAAGGTCGCGGAGTCTCTAAGTGTAGCCCTGTGATAGACTGGTGACCTGTCCAGGGTGTCCCCTGCCTTCGCCCTGAGTCAGCTGGGATAGACTCAAGGGTTCAGGTTTTTTCTTGTCACCTATCTGTACACAGAAATCATATTTGCAGGAGACTGATAGAGCCTCTGTGCATTTTATTTTTATTTTTATTATTTTTTGCATATAGTTTGTTATTTAAACATATAAACTAAGGGGGGAAAATGAAAACGACTTCAAGCAGAAAGGAAAATGTCAAACCAGAAAGATTAAATGCAAATGCAACAATGTAAAAAGCTGCAATCAAATTCATTACATCTTCACAAAAAGCGGTACTTGGTGAATATCATTAGGAGTTAAGACGCTCATTACAGTTTAAAATGTTCATCTCTGAGTGTTGTTCTTCAACATACTCTTCAAAAAGCACATATGCATGATTTTTTTATGTTTATATTTTTTTAACCTGAGTGCTTTGTTGGTTTTGTAAGAAGTGAGATAGCCAAAACAACTACTGATAAACCAGCCGCTTGCGTTGTTGTGTTACTGGTATGTGGCTCGTTAAATGGTCATTTACTTCTTTGGATGTCAATCACTGATAAGACACATCTACTCTTATTAACTTCTTTTAATGAACTCTTATCATACAACAGTAATTTACAAAGAATTTGATAAATGTCCAGCATTTTTTGCAATCATGCGTTACATGCGTTGATTCGCGGGTCTTGAGAAGCGCAACAATGCGTGCAACGCTCTGTAGCAGGAGGAAGAGAATTTCTGGGTTTTAGATGTCTTCTGAACGTCAGATTTGTGCTGATGGATGGCTGCTTGAAGCAGTGGGGAAGACATGGCATCAAAGCCCGTTATCTCAGGTGCTTCTCCCAGTGCTTTGTAGTCGGTTGTAATTTGCAGGGGTTTACGTCTTTCTCCAAGCCGTGAAATAAAAGCATCACACTCCAAGTCCTCTAGGTGCTTTGTGCTACAGCCCCGACTGCACCACACACAGCCATTCTCTCATACCTCTCTGATGTTTAACCATTTCATATAATGGAGACTCAAAGCGCCCAGAGTGTTCCCCATCACACGTGTAGACAGCAGTGACACTTTTATGCCAAAGACGTCAGAAAAAATGCAAATTGCTCTTTCCTGCTAGAATAGTGAAAGGAAGTGGAAATTACAAGTAAAGTGAGAAAGATGTCTCAGCCTAAAGTTTTCCAAGATTGGCGAACTAACATTATAAAAGCACTAAAAACTGAAAAAATATAAATAAATAAAGAATAAAATAAAAAAATCAACAAACAATCTCTGCTGTGCTTAATTTAAGCATGATTGTCATTTTAGAAATAGTATTATT